TATGTTGCCTTCCTCTTTTCCCTTGTTCTCTCATGCTGTTAACACCATGAAATGAAGAAAATCTTTAGATCCATATAGACTGAAGCCATCTGGCAATTCATGGTTGTCATGCTATCCAAATGGGTAGATTACTCAAAATGTACTCCCTATACTTAGGAGCACAGACCAAAATTTGGTTCTTAGTTCCTCTGTCTGAAAAGCTAGAATTAGGAGGTTTTCAGTCATAGTTTAGTTACCATCAGAAATTTTGTTTGGCTGGGGAAACCAGAAAATTGTGAAATGAGAGAATGTTTTTTGTGAGTAAAGAGAGTAATGAGTAGCTGAAGAATGAGAGAATTTATAGGCAGTTTTAAAATTGGATTAAATAAGGGATCCTAATTTTTATCTGACTTCTGTTTACCTCTAATTTTGGTCCAAACACGAATCAACTGTATGTGATGTTCATATGTGTAAGTTGGGTGTTGTACAAATACCCCATGCACTGGGAGGAGATTAATGCAGAAAAAATATGCAGTCAAATAATTTAAGACTGCTGTATACCTAGAGCTTAGGATGGACTTACTTAGCAGCAAACTGGAGAGTAGAAATGCTTTTCCCGAGTTTCCAGGGAATTAGGAACTGGGCTGGAACACCACAGACCTGTGTTGCCTGAGCAGATGACTAACTCGTGGCAGTATTTGGCTGAAAATGTGGACAAGCAGTTGAAAAGAACTCAAGTTACAGTCTAGAGCGCTTCATTGTTTTAGCTTGAAGTTTTGACACGCAGGCACTTTGAGTTTGACTGTGTCTTGACTAAAGATGCTTGATCTGGTTCTAATACCCTGTTTAATTCTTGGTCATCCCATTCTCTGTGAATGTGATCCTAGTCTAAGTTTTCTGCCCTCTCCATGCAAGTTAAAGTGCTCCTTATCTTTCCTGTCTGCTGGAGGAAGATGTAAAAAAAATTACTTTTCAGTAATTTGGATAATGAAAGTTATTTCTAAGCTTTTCTATGAGAATGTGTTGATAGCCAGATTCCATCAATGGATGTCCGACGTTGTGGAAGACTTCTTCATCCATGAAGGCCAAAAATGAATAATGACTTCATTACTCATCCATTACCGTCTACCTCAGTGACGTGAAATAACTTTGCATGCTAGTTTTCACAACTTGATACAAATGTTATTCTAGATAAGATTCTGTGATTGAAAATGTTACTTACATTTCCTTTCTAATGTTTATTATTTATGATCTCTAATGTTGCATAGAAAGAAACCTTTGCCTTATACCTGAACAGGAGCAAGTGAGACTGTGGAGACTAACTAAAAGTGGAATAGACTTAAAATTCCCTCTAACATTTTATGAAGTTATTGTGTGACAAATGCAATAGGCATGTGTGACAATGTATGGAATGGGAAATTATTTTTAGTGACAAAAAACATCCTGCTTAGAAAAGGATAGCTCCATGACATACACAAATGTATGTGAACGGGTGGTTCCTCTTCCTAATCTTCTTGGCTTCAAAATATGAAATATATACTTACATAAGTATATAAAATATAATTTTCAAAATAGTTCTATGTGCTTGATTGAAACGCTGGGCATGACTTAGAAGCATCCAATAGAGGTCATAATTCCAGTGGAGAAGGAAATAGAATAACTCATCTTCTAATTTAAATGTTCCTGCATCTTCACTTCTGTTGTGTTGTCTCAGGACTGTGTCTAAAATAGCATTTCTTAAGTTCTCATGTTTCATGCAAGCTGTCTTATCCTAAATTTATTTTTGGTCAATTTGGCAAATGTGTATTGCTGTATTTGTACTGTCCTATACAGGTGTTTGTGGTTTCTCTGTATATTTAAAAGAAACACTTATACTTACATATACTTAGTTATATTGCTTTGCAATGCTTACACTCTGTTAGTTTATGCTGATATTTCTGTTGAAATGTTTTGTGCAAATGTAAGCCACTAGTCTATCTGTAGATTTGAAGCTGAAAACCACATAACAGATTTGAAAGCAGTGTGGAAAATGCAATAATCATGCATCCTTGGTAGCTTTAACTGCATTTTTTTAGCCCACCTCTGCAGAGAATTAAAATAATAATATTCTATATTATTGTTTTAAATAATATAATAATTTAGAGTGACTTTCAGAAATATTTTCATTCATTGCCCAGACACATTATGTCTACTTAAAGATTGAGATAAACAAAGTGTTTTCGTTATTTTATAACTGTGTCTTATTTTAAGAATGCCTGTGGCTAGCTATCAGCAGGATCACTGAAACTTTCATTTTAGCAGCTGCTACAAAAGCATGATCGTTTAAAAAAACAACTGTTCCTAAAAAGCTTTCACATAGAAGTATATTGGTTGTATTTATATAATTGCTCTTGGCATCAGCTTAAGTGAACTTAAGTAAAAGTTTGTCCATAAAATTATCTCACTTTCTCAATCCACTTGAACTTTGATCTGTTCTGGCACAATGTTCTAAAGCTGGTACAGATGCTTTGTGATTGAAGTTTGTAATCCCAAATGGGATTACACCACCTTCTTCTGATTCAGAATTTCCTGCTGTTGCAATATGTGTTGTTTCACAGAAATGAGGAGTAATTCCCTCTCATTGGCTCATGTTGAGATTGCTGTCAGGGAACAGCATTAGTGAAGTATTCCTTCACTGCTAAAGACAAGACATCACTTCTATTGTAAACTCTCTTCTCCTTCAACAAGAAAAAAATTGTTTTTAATAATTCATTTAATCTTGAAGCTCTGTTTCCCAGGAGTGGGAATTTTTGCTCTTTTCCCCTCTTCTTTTTGAAAAATTGTTGTTGTTGTTGTTATTATTTGCAAATTCCTTATTGAGTGGACAGTAATGAGTCAGCTTTAGTCAGCTGCAAGTCATGGTCTTGTTTGAGCTCTGTCCTCTATAGGCAGGTTGCGTGTGTGTGTGTGTGTGTGCTTAGTCCTCCCTTAGAAGAAAACAAAAAGAGCAAGGAGTACTGCAGAGAGCACTTCTTTTCTGGTCTCATTTCAGAGAGGTTTCTACCTCCAAATCTGGCATGGTTTTTCTTAGATTATCTTGTTTCAAGCCACGTTGCTATTGTAGCAAAGGCTTGGAAAACATGCTGTTTGCAGGCTTTTCACACTGGGCCTGAAAGGATCATGATATTAAATTGCAGGGTTACCTGCTGAGTAAACCTGAGGCTTTTACACAGGGGGGCCTGCCATCCAAATTTAAGCACTTTTGAAGGACAGGAGGTTTTGGAATAAGGGCTGCACATGTCTGCCTGCTACCAAGGAAATCAGTTTGTGCTGGAAAGCAAGCACATGTTGAGTTAGGGCTAGGTAAGCAGAAAAGAGAATTGGAACACCTGAGAAGGAAAGAGTAAGCTGCTCTTCAGATTTTGATCACAAGCTTTTTCAGCTTCTAAGGCATCACATTTGCATTATTTATAAACATTTCATAGTGTATTTTCTAAATTTAAAGAGTTTTGGTGCATTCTGGTTGGACATATGCCAATACAGTATATATGACTAGTAATTTGTCATGGCCCTTGTTTAATGCAAAGGGGACTTTTAGTTGTGCTACCTGAGTTCGTATTTGGAGCACTCCATTCCCATGGTCTGTTTGTGCATTATTTTTAATAACCAGTGAAAACTTACTAAGATTTTTCTCATTTGAAGGAGAAAATAAAAGTTTTGATAGTTGGGCCCTAAGTTTTTCCTTGCAATGTTAGCTGCACACTTGATAGCATAGACTCTCACTCTTCAGGGGTGATAATAAGAAAAAGTCACTATGTTCTTGTCATCAGTGCTAGAGTAGCTGTCCTGCGATGTATGAAAGCTGAGATGACATGCCAGAAGATCCTCATCTCTTAGGGAGAAAAATGTAGCAGGAGGAATTAGTATTTTTTCACCTTTTTCAGAAGCACACAACTCTGAGAGCTGATTGACATCAGCTGACCAGGGAGTTGGAAGCATCCCTTCATGTATGGCCAGTGCTGGCCAGGACACAGACAGATGTTCCAGGGTCTCCAGTTTTTCCTCAGTGCTGAGTTGTCATAGGTTGAATGCTTCCACTTCCACCCTTTCCCAAGGGCATTCTTTACTGGTACCAGTTCTTCAAAGACTCCTGGGGCAATGCAGTGGCTCCCTGCTCTTGTTTTTGTCCTACTGCATCATTTTCCCACACTGCCTGCTTGGCTCAGAGTTCTTGTCCTGCCTTGATCTCTCCATGGCAATCATAGATGCATCAGCCCATCAGCTTCAGGTCCAATTAGGGAACTCTCTCACTTCTGGTATCGGTCTGGTGCCGCTTGTTGACACTGGAAGAGTTCAGATCTGAAAGCGGGTGTTTCTGGAGATATATGTGCTGCAGCCACTGTACTCTACTGTAGCCACAAAACTTTCTTTGCAGAAAACCCATCTGGGGCTTGCTACCATGTCATTTTTAATTTAAAATATCCTTATGACTAATGGAACTATAAAATACCTTGTCACTGTTGTAGCACATAGGGGATCCAGTAATAAATTAGAGGTCCTCTGTGGCAAGGACCATAGATATGTAATAAAACAACCACCTCTGTCTGGGAACACTTCAGTCTAAGTTCATATTTCTTCCTTATGCAACCAAAAATAGGGTTAGTGAAATTTCCTGTCTAAGGGCTTTAACAGCTGGAATATAAAAGAAAATTTCACCATTCTGCAGTGTAGTAGTCCTGTATCTCTGGAAAGTATGTACTTTGGTAATGTTCAAGACAAAACTTTTCATTTAAACATTTCTCACAGCATATCTAGTTTGATTTACGCAGAGGTTTGAAGCAGTAGGATGCATTTGGTCATTCCAAATTTATATTCAGTGACTAGAGAAAAATGTTCTAGTTTTATTTGAAATGTTTCTGTCCTCCTGTTCTAAACTAAAAGGCCAAATTTATGACAAAATCATTAAAATGCATAAATGCTGAACTGACTTTTCTGATTCAATGTTTTCATGTATATATGTCTTCTTATAATTGCTTCTCCAGATTGTATTGGTCAGTGGACATCTGGACAGCTGGGATGTTGGGCAGGGAGCTATGGATGATGGTGGTGGAGCATTTATATCATGGGAAGCATTATCACTCATTAAGGATCTGGGTAAATATTTAATTTTAAAATATTTTTAATGCATTACATTTCCAGGCCATTTTTTATGTTGTCTAAGCTGGATTTTCTATTTTATACATTCATCTGAGCACAAATATTCATATTTAGCATAAATATTTTGCAATTTTGTGTGTTAAACTCCTCCTGTAATCACAGGGGTTATCCAAAAGCAACACATCAGTCAATGATCTAGAAACTGCTTTGAGCCTGCATGGTCACCATCATCATAGAGTTTGAGTTTACTGTAAGGTATAACATCTAGGTACCTTGTAAGGAAGTCGCTCCTTTTCATTGTGTTTTAATGGGTTTCTCCCTATTAATGAAGATGAATCTTCATGGAGTCACAGATAGCCTTCTGATACTCATAGAATCATAGAATGGTTTGGGTTGGAAAGGACCACTAGAGGTCAGCTCGTCCGACCCTTCCTGTAATGAGTTGGAACATCTTCAACTAGATGTTGTTGCTGAGAGCCTTGTTCAACCTGACCTTGAAGGTTGCTAGTGATGGGACATCTACCACCTTCCCGGGCAACCTATTCCAGTGTTTCACCACCTTGTAAAAAATTGCTATTTTAAATCCAGTTACATTAAAATGGTTACCCCTTCTCCTGTTGCAACAAGGCCCTACTAAAAAGCATCGTTCTTATAAGTCCCCTTTAAGTATTGAAAGTCTGCAATAAGGTCTTCCTGGAGCCTTCTGTTCTCCAGACTGAACAACCCCAACTCTCTCAGCCTTTCCTCATAGGACAGGTGCTCCAGCTCTCTGATGGTTTTTGTGGCCCTCCTCTGGATGCACTCCCAACAGGTCCATGTCCTTTCTGACCCAAGGACTCCAGAACTGGACGCAGCACTCCATGTGGGGTCTCACCAGAGGAGAGTAGAGGGGCAGAATGACCTCCTTCAACCTCCTGACCACGCTTCTTTTGATACAGCCCAGGATACAGTTGGCTTTCTGGGCTGCAAGTGCACATTGCAGGCTTAGATCCAGCTTTTCATCCCCCAGTACCCCCAAGTCCTTCTCCACAGGGTTGCTCTCAATCCCTTTATCCTCCTGTCTGTATTGATACTGGGGGGTTGCACTGACCCTGGTGCAGGATCTTGCACTTGACTTTGTTGAACCTTGTGAGGTTCACGTGGGCCCACTTCTTGAGTTTGTCCAGTTCCCTCTGGATGGCATCCCATCCCGCAGATGTCTCAGCTGCATCGCTCAGATTGGTGTCATCTGCAAACTTGCTGAGGGTGCACTTAATTTCACTGTCCATGTCATTGATGAAGATACCAAACAGCACTGGTCCCAGTACGGACCGCTGAGGGTCACCACTTGTCACCAATCTCCATCTAGGCATCAGCTGTTGACCACTCCCCTCTCTCTGGATGCAACCATCCAACGAGTTCCTCATCCACTGATCAGTCGATCAAATCAGTATCTCTCCAATTTAGAGGGAGCTATGGTTGCACACTCATCTGCCTGTGTTCTGCAGACACCCAGCCTCTCAGAGCTTGGTGTGGTGTCCTGCTGTTCCAAGTCTCCTGTGCCTCATCTGATTTCTAGTCTCCAAACTGCAAATTCCAGTCTTACTGCTTGCTCTGTAGTTTTTTGCTGGTTTTACTTCCATATGGGCTTTTGTCACTTTAAACTAGTTTAAAACAAACTTCTTAGAATGACAAGTTGATATCCAAGGATGCTTTTCTCCCTTCATCAGATGGAATCTATTTTTCTTCATCATTACTTTTTTTCCATAACTGTAACCTGTGGTCAAGAGGAATGCATCACTTATTAATTGAAAACTAAAATCAGCTGCTGCTCCTGCTCTTAGCTTTGGCAGAGTTTAAATACCAAACTAGCCTTCCCTGCTTCTCATCAAAGGGATTTGTGCACTTGAACAATCTCAGTGTTTCTTGAAGAGCTCTTTGTAGACAAACTCTGTTACATGGTTAGCCACTCTCATACTGCCGTGGTGAGCATCAGACATTCCTGTGAATTCCTATTCTTTTATTTTGCATTATTTAAACCTCTTACTTCTCATTTTCCCAGCCTTGGAATGATTGGAAGATTATTGTCTTCTACAGGAGAATCCAGGTCTACTCCTTTTAGGGGTTTTTAATATCTTTTATGATTCTCGGAAAATTGTCTATGCTCCCTCCACCTTCAGAAAAAAAAATTATGCTTCTGTGTTGGCTGATTCTATTCCATTCAGAATAAACTGGTTTGCGTCTCTTGAGGGCAAGTTCATGGTGGCATCATATAATTCTTATTCACTAGGTTTCCCTTCATGCATGACTGAAATCCATCACTCTCCTCCGCTTGTTCAAATATTTGGTTTCCTCTTGTAGTAGCCTGTGTGTTTGCTGTACGACCTGTAGTGAAATGCTGTTTTCTCAGCTGGGAAATGCTGGAGCCTTTGCTGATGGCCAGTTTGTTCTGGCCAGCTCCTGTGTTCAGCTCTTCATGTTATACCAGTGTTCTGCAGGAACCTAAGTTTGGGAGAGGACTTCTGGGTCATCACATTTAAGCTGTAAATAACCATGGGGAATAGAGCCTTTCATAAACTCTCTTCCATAGCATATTGGGTAATGCAGATTTAATATCTTATGGTGCACATAAAAATCTGTCAAAAAGGACAGCAAAAAAACAGATGTGGAGATTGTGTGAGAAACGAATTAATGAGTTTTGTTTAAAAACAATTCCATAGATTGTGTTTTGAGTGAGCATTACATTTTGAACTGTGGAGACTTGGTTTAATATCCTTTTGGACCCTGATAAATTTGGTCTCAGATTAGTCCACCAAATACATTTGGCATGGGGATAAACCAACTCAACTGGCTTGTTTGTATGCACGTGTAGAAATTTTTTACTGTATACTGGGAGTCTGAAAGCCATAAAAACTGTGTCTGTGTTTCCCAGAGTATAATTGATCTTACAGCTGTGGTGATATTATCTTAAAGCTGAAGCAAACATTCTGAAATATGAATTCTAGAATGCGAAGTTTGGATGTGAGAAATACTGCCAGTACTTCTGCCATGCACTGTTGGTTCCAAGAAAACAAGATATTACTACTCTATTTAAGTAGGTTTTTTTAGTGATGATCTAATAGCTCTTCATCATGGTGTCACTGTGACCCCTGGACATGGCTGGTGGGCACAAGTTATGGCTGTTAATTTGGACTTTGATAATTCCATGTAGTATTTGAGAAATTATTATAGATTAAATACCGTTCCATACTTTCAAAATAGCCTCCTCCCCAAACCATTTAATAGCTATTGGCTTAGGACCTGAATCTTCAGTGTTAGCTTTTATTTTTCTAATTGAGCTGGCAGTTTCTGTACAATATTGATATCTTTTTTTCTTTCTGGTGTTCTTATAGATATTCAGACATTGTAATAATTATATGTTTCCTATAAGGACAGGTAACAGTAGCACAATCAGAAGTAGTTTTACACTGTCTACAACACTTCAAACTTTTGATAGAACTTTTTTTTTCCATTTTACTTCTTGACTTCACATGAATGTTGTTTCTTTTTGAGAGAAAGAGAACTACATGAAGGCCAGACTGAACTGAAATAACTTTGTATTGTATTACGAGAGAGTAGAATAATAAGATTTAATGAATGTAAAGTCCTGTGTATATATTTCCAAAGAGTAGTGCCTTAAAAACATAGGACCAGATTGTGAACTACTATAGTTTCTGAATACTGTTTAGGGCTGTAACAATTCAGTTACACCTGGAAAGTAGAAAGACTAAAAAGTGGAAGTTTCAAGTTTGTCTGAATACATTGCTTCTGACAGCTGTAACGTTTCTCTGCCCATCTCTCACACCAGGGTGATGGGAAGGGAGCACCTGCTGCTGCTGCCATTCTCTCTCCACCTTACCAAGGGAGGAAGCACCAACAGCAAATTCATAGCAAATGCCAACTTTTAGATGGTTACATTTCAGCAAGCTGAATCTTGCTCCATGTGGCTTTCCCACAGCCACCCTGTGCAGAAAACTGAACTCCATCTCTTCTGTACAGCTGCAGCTTCTCTCTCAGAGCATCCCCTCCAGCAATCCGCAGTTAAAGGTCAGCACTGGCTTCTGCACCTGTTGGTACCAGCAGTCGTCATAGATACCTCTGGACCTGAGTAAACAGAAGTGTTTTCCTTAGTGCACCTGTATCAGCTCTACTCTTACAGTTGCTTGCTTTGCCAGTAGCTAGTCTCAGAACAATTCACCAACCAGGGTCCCTGTTGACAAATGTTACCCAAAGGGGTCTTTTCTCCTTGCTAACACTGAAGTTTAAGGAAATACAAAGGAAAGAAAACCAGTATTTTTTTCCTGGAACTCTTGAAGCTTACATGTGCTGCTGATTGGCAAGATCTCTGGCAAGCTGCTTTGTGTCTTACATGCTTGAAAAACTAAAAACTGGAAGTTTTTCCACATAAGTTGTTTCTGTGCAGAAAGAGGAAAGTTTCAGCCATTTATTGCTTTTTATTCCTTTTTCTGGGAACAAAGATAATCTTTAGAGTTGCTGAGGCAGTTAGTGAGCTGGTCTGAACTGGTAAACTCCCTCTCCTTCAGTGGAGCTGAGGCTGTTGTGATTAGCTGAGGTTTTCTGATGCCTAAGAAATTGCCCTTCATAACTGCAGGCAGGGTGTCTGAGGCAATAAGCTTGTGCAATGTGCCGTTTGCCTGCAGTCAGGTCTGGCAGCTGCCACCCTCCCCAGGCTTCTGCAGATTTTAACCTTTTGAACAATTTTAACTGAATTTGATAGAGGCATAGAAATATTTAGAATATGAAGTTCTGATATGTTCTTTGCAAATGAGTGAATGAGGAGAGATAAGGGAGTGTATTTATGTCCCAGCTGAGGGAAAGGCAGGAGGAAACTCTGCTCTTATCCATTCCTGATGATGATGCATGCCTGGTTAATTAGCACACATGTAGATTTGGTGTAGGCACCACAGCCTCTTTCTTGATAGTTAGCAAATATTGCTATGGTGGTAGTGAGAGTGTTGTTTGGGGTAATTTAGAGGTGATGGGAAGGCACTGGGACTGTTTTAGGGATGAAGGGCTGAAGGGTTCCTGTCTTTAAGCTGAGGGAATCCGTGCGGTGTTGCATGAGCTGTGATGTGGTGTGAATGCATTTGGAAGCTGTAGGAGAGACAGCACTCAAGCAAATTGGGGTTTTTAAGTTTTGCAGAACAACAGGTGTGTTGCTAATTACAGTCTAGAAACCTCAAATCCAACTTGTTTTCAGGTTGCATTTATAATTCTCCAATTTAACGTTTGTTAGTTTAAGTGCAAAGAAAGGTGTCTCTGGAGATGGCCAATGTCATTTGCCTCAGCATTTTCATGTTAGTGTGGTTAATGCTCTG